GTTAAGAAAACAACTCCATTCAAAATGCTATCAGAAAGTATAAAATACTTGGGTATAAATTTTTAAAAAGAAGCATAAATCTTAAACTGTGTAAATGTATGCAAAAATTGTTGAAAAAAAGTAAAGTCCTAAATAAATGAAATCCTATGTTTTATGGATTGGAAGACCGAACACTATTAAGATGGTAATGGTACTTAATCTGATCTATAGGTTCAAAGCAATCCCTATCATAATCCCAGTTGACTTCTTTATATACATTGACAAGCAGATGTTAAAATTCACATGGAACTGCAAGGAGCCCAAAATAGCCAAACAATCCTGAAAAAGTATAAACTAACAGAATTTATACTTCCAAACTTCAGAAGTCACTACAATGTAATAATCAAGATGGTGCTGTACTAGAACGAAGGAATATCAATGGACTAGAATTGAGAGTCCAGAAATAAATCCATACAGTTATGATAAACTGATTTTCAACAACAGTGCCTAGACCATTCAATGAGGGAAAAACAAACGGCCAGGACCACTGGATAGCCAGATCCAAAGAATCAAGTTGGACCTTTACTTCATACCACACAAAAAAAACTGACCTAACAATGGATTAAAGGCCAAGACTCTTAGAAGCAAGCACAGAATTTTCATTATTTCAGGTTTGACAATGAACTCTTGGATATGACACCAAAAGCACAAGCAACAACAAAAACAACAAAAATTGACTGAATTTCACCAAAATTTAAAACTCTTGTGCTTCATAGGGCACGATCCAAGAATGTGAAAGACAACCCACAGAATGGGAGAAAATGTTTGCCAATCAAGTATCTGCTAAGTAAATTATATCCAGAATATATAAAGAACTCTTAAAATTTACAAAAAAAATTTTTTTTAAAATAAGCAAAGGATCCAAATTGACAATTTCCCAAAGAATATATGCAAATTGCTAAAAGAATATAAAAAGATGCTAGACATCATTAGTCATCAGAGAAATGCCACTCAAAATCACAATAAAACACTATATCCCGACCACTAGAATGAGAATTGAGAGCTTGATAATATGGGTTGTCAAGAATGTGAAGAAACTAGAACTCTCATATGCTACTAGAAGAAATGCGTAATAGTCCAGCTGCTATGAAAAGCAGTCTGGGGGCGCCTGGGTGGCTCAGTGGGTTAAAGCCTCTGCCTTCAGCTCAGGTCATGATCTCAGGGTCCTGGGATCGAGCCCCGCATCGGGCTCTCTGCTCAGCAGGGAGCCTGCTTCCTCCTCTCTCTCTGCCTGCCTCTCTGCCTACACGTGATATCTGTCAAATAAATACATAAAATCTTAAAAAAAAAAAAAAAGAAAAGAAAAGAAAACCAGTCTGGCAGCTCTTCAAATGATTAAACATAGAGTGACTAAATGATCCAGCAATTCCACCCCTAGACAAATACCCAAGAGAAATGAAAACACATGTACACACACAAACATGTACATGAATGTTATATGTTCCTGTGAGCAGACGGATTGCTTGCTCAGTCTTCCCCAATTTCTGGATTGTGCCTGAGCAAAGTAGGAAGTTCTTTAGGAGAACTCCAGCTACAAGTGACACATGTAATGAAGGACTCTGGTCCCACTCTCACAATGTCTGCATACAACTTTGCCAACTTGTCTATTCCACATAATTGGAATTCTGCCTCATTTAATTCTGCATGCCCTGCTAAAACTGGTATCCCCAACCCCAAACTCCATCTTCCCTGGCTGGGTTCCTAACATCCTTCCAAACTTATAGCAATCCCATGGACCAGCTCATGTATTCTTCCAAGTGTTAGATGAAGACCTATGAAAAATAGCTTAAGAACTGCACTGTGATTACCAACTAAACCTTGAGAGTCTAGGAGTCTTACATGCCTATGAAACTGAGTGTCTCCTAATTCCAAGGCACAAATATGCTACACCGTTTCAGAGCTTTGTGGCTGCACAAAGATCTCTCTACCTGACATGCCCACTATCTACTATTCTGCCTGGCATCACCTCCCTGTTTATTCTTCCTCTGTGAAGTGATTCAAGAATTAGTAGCTTTAGTCTCCGCTCTTCTGGGAAGCAGACCAATAGCTAAGAGCATAATATCTGGAACCAGCATGACTGAGCTCAAACTTCACTTTATCACTTAAATGTACCACCTTGTCAAGTTTCTCAACCACTCTGCCTCAGTTTTCTCATCTAGTGAAAGGGGGTAATTCTTCTTCCCAGGGCTGTTATAAGGATTAAACGAAATCATATATAACATGTATTATGTTTCCCCAGCACTGGGTTATTACTTCTATCTCAATCTATTGATGGTATCATACTTGTTTTGTTTACCTGAATCTTCCCCTACCAGTCCCTGAGCCTCTCAAAGGTGTTAAGTTTATTTTTTCTTTCACATTCATAGCATTTAATGCAGTGCTAGGCAGTACATTAAGGGGTCAATGAGTGAATGAAAAATAAAAACTACTAGCCCAGCAAAGTCAATGATTATGGAAACCATGCTTTCAATATAAAAATCAGACCACATGGTTGATGACTGTACTAGACCTGACTAAGAGCAGGCCTGCTCTGGAAAATCCAGACTATCTGACTGCCAGAATGATCTAGAAAGAATCCAAATGCTCAGCAGTTATATCAGTTACATAAATGATAGCATTAAAACACAGAGGACTGGGGCACCTGGGTGGCTCAGTCCATCAAGCATATGCCTTTGACTTGGGTCATGATCCCAGGGGTCCTGGGACTGAGCCCCACGTCAGGTTTCCTGCTCAGCAGAGAGCCTGCTTCTCCCTCTCTTTCTCTCTCTCTCAAATAAATAAAATCCAAAAACAAAAATAAACAAATAATAACAAAAACAACCAGGATCTTATATAACCATAACAGGAGTCATCTGTTGACACCTCAAAGAGTCTGGACAAAACACTAAGCAGAAAAACAGAGCAGGGGCGCCTGGGTGGCTCAGTTGGTTAAGCGACTGCCTTCAGCTCAGGTCATGATCCTGGAGTCCCGGGATCGAGTCCCGCATCGGGCTCCCAGTTCCACGGGGAGTCTGCTTCTCCCTCAGACCTTCTCGCTCATGCTCTCTCTCACTGTCTCTCTCTCTCTCTCTCAAATAAATAAATAAATAAAATATTTATAAAAAAAAAGAAAGAAAAACAGAGCAGAAGAATATGCATGAAAGGATTACAGAGCTGGTCAAAGAATGATAATCAAAGAGAACAGACTTTATGTGTATCTAATATCACAGAATGAAAGAATATTTCTATGTTTTAAATTTTGATTCTAAAGACAACTTTTTAAAAGATTTTATTTGTTTATTTGACAGAGAGAAAGCACGTGCCCACATGCAAGTGGAGCAGCAGGCAGAGGGAGAGGGACAGGGAGAAGGAGGCTTCCCACTGAGCAGAGTGACATGGGGCTCAATCCCAGGACACTGGGATCATGGCCGGAGCCCAAGACAGGTGTCAGCCGACTGAGCCACCCAGGGGTCCCTAAAGACAACTTAATCCAAAAAGAAAATAATGCTTATAATGCCTTTACACAAGAAACAAGATAAGTGGAATAGAGATTCCAAAAGTTTTAATCCCTTACATAAGACTCAGTGAAAAGGATCACATTTCTCCATTACTATAACTCTGAATAGATAAGTTTCCTGATAAGAAAAAATTCAGATATGCCCCTCATGGTCAATTCTCTTATTTCATAAGTAAACTTTTAAGGCCAGGCATCTGTTTTGGTCATGTCTGGGACAGTCAACAGTTTGATTAAATTAACCAAAGTTCTTCCTAAGTATGTCTTCTCCTTTCGGTACAATTAAAAAACGAAATCCAAATTGTATATATTTGTCCACAAATAATAAAGGTCTTCAGCAAGTTTTTCATTCATTTCTCCCTGAAATAGTTCCTCTCAAAATTACAGCCCAAAGAACAGATCCTATGCTTTTCACTTTAATCAGCTTATTTTATACATACGTACTCACACAGATATATACACATCTACATATACATACCTATATACACGCCAGAGGAAAATTAAGTAATGAATGCATCTTTTCAGTTATCTTCATATAAGTTACTAAAACAGGACCCCAATAATCTGGAGATGATGACTACTCTAACTTGATTCTAAAAAACCAAATATGTACTTCCATCCTTCTATGCCATCAACTTTCCCTAGATTAACATAGGAATGGGGGCACTTGGTTGGCTCAGTAGACTGACAGTCCAATTCTTGATTTTGGCTCGGGTCATGATCTCAGGGTTGTGAGAATGAGCTCGAGTCGGGCTCTGTGCTGGGCATGGAGACTGCTTAAGATTTTCTCTCTCTAACGTCTCCCTCTGCCCTTCTTCCGTTGTCTCTGAGCTCTCAAATAAATTAAAAAAAAAAAAAAAGCAAAGGCATTATCCCTGAATATTACTTAACAAATAACCTTCCTTAAAAACACAATTCAACAGTCTAAACACAATACACTTAAAACTGGTTTCCAATTTTGAGTAAGAATTTATCCTCACCCACTTCATAAATACTCTTGCCCAAAGAGCAATCTGTCAACACATGTAGTTTAAATCATTAACTACCACAGCACCAAATCATTACTATAATCAGCATGTAAATTTCATGAAGGCGCTGATTGTGTCCTTTTAAGCACTTTAAACAACATCCAGTACAAGGAAGCTTATTAAACATTTATGATGTTTAATAAAAATAAAATGCCAAAACAAAAGTCTTTGTTATTCAGCTTGGCTGCCATGTATAATATAACCACTGATCAGTATCTATTTCTCCAAGAGCAATTATAAGAAATCGAAAACAAACCCCATTCAGATTAGAAATTCTGTCTCCTCTGTCCAAGAATACAGTTTCATTTTTGCATCAGAAAGAAACCAGCAGGTCTCCAGCAGAGAGCATGCAAATGCAGATTGTTGTGGTGCTTAACCTAAGCATTTATGCATTGTTTACTACTATATTTCATGCACATTTTTGGAGATATTTGCCTTACCTTTCCCATTTTGCCACGTAGTATACCAAGATAAAGTCAGGAACGAAGTGATAAATGCTAAAACAGTAGCTACAGTTCCATTTCGGAGCCTCATCTCATTTCACCATCACACTGGTTCATATGTTTATGATGATAACCAAAACTGTTCTATTTCTAATCCTGAAGTCAACTGAATCCAGTACTCCTGGCTTGGGGCCAATAAAAACAATCAATAAGAGAGGTTCATTTCAGACGCTCTGCAGAAGGAGCCCAGCAGCAACACCATTCATAATTGCAATTCTGGATTGTCTTCACAGTCGTCATAGGCTGCTGTCTCAGGCTTCTTTCTTCCTGTTCAGGGGAAAAAGGGAAAGGAAAACTTGTTCAATAATGCAAAATACTACTTCTTCATTTATCACTCACCATTATGAACAAACTTTTGGCTGGGCTAACCCCCAGCTACCAAGATTATACCCACATCTAAACAATTCATTTAATATACTAGAATCATACGATGTTTCTCCTCCAGAAAAAGAGCTTCAAACTATATTCCCTCCTCCTTGATTCTGCAAAAAAAAAAAGAAAGTTATGGCTCATTATTTAAAGGGAAAGGTTGTGGGGCTCATTAAACAAATAGGAAGCCACAGATTTGAAGCTGATTAACTCTGAGGATCACGCAACGGTTCCTACGTAACATAATCGTCATACTCCTCCATTTTCCTCTTGCAAAATAATAGTCAATGTTTTGAAAACTTTAAGAAAAACTGGGAGACTACAACATACAAGCATCAAAAAACCTAGGCTCTAGCTCCAGCAACATCATTATATATAGGACTTCAGGTGTACCACTGATTTAGGCCTTGCAGTTTCATCCATAAAACAAGCAAACCACCTGGCCTGGCTCCACTTCTAGGACACAAATAATGTTTATAAACAATAGAAAAGTCACAGTGATTATTGCCATTTATCATTATCATAAAAGAAATGTAGTTTTTCAGGTGAGTAACCTGCTCCCAAGGTGTCAACTGGGAATACGAAAAGGCATTTAGGAAACGAAGCAACCCAACCAGAACACTGCAGGACCTAGGACCTCACACTGCTTTCACTCAGAAAATCTGAACATCGAATTCAATCAAGTCCTTATGGGTACTTAAGTATAGTCACCTACCACTTAATAGGTTCTCCATAAATGTTAACTGTGTTAAAAAATAAAAGCAAACCAAACAAACAAACAAAACTGCAGCCAGCCACGGGTTTGGTCTGCACTATGCATAGCCAGTCTCGTTCCCTGGGGGCATGTCAGGCACTCCAAGATGTTCACGGATTCCCAGTGGCCTCAAAGGGACCACAAGATGCACTTGGCAACATACTGAGACACACTCTACTGGGGTAAGTTAATGCACCTCCAAAAATGCCTCACAAGCCCCAGGGACAATTCCCTTGGCTACAAAGTATGGCTGATTAAAGTAGCCACTGGGTAGGCAATTCAGAAACCACCATGTCAGCTACAGTTGTAAAAATGAACATAGTGACTAGAAATCCCCCCTAGACTAAGCGATAGTACTGATGGTAACAGTGACAGACTCTACAAGGCACTGTTTCCTATGCAACCACTATATGCTTTAAATCTTCAACAAAACCCTAAGAGGCAGGCCTTTTCTTTAACTGAAGTATAATTGACACACAATGTCACATTAGTTTCAGGTAATGAGACAGGCATTATTAAACTGGAGAGGGAACACTGATCTGTAAGACTTCAAAGTTCAAGCGCTTACCTACTGCCCTTTGCCTTTCAAACTAGGCCACCTGCACCTTGTAAGAATGAAGAGAAGGGTAAGGGCCACTCCCAGTCTAGAGAACCTTCCTGAGGTATTAACTTCACCCAACAGTGTGTGAATTTCAAAAATTTTCTCTCCTATAATGAATATGTATTTACTAGGAGATAATCTGCAAAATTCATAGGAAATTTCTGAGTTTAAACCTAAGACTTTTTTTTATTTTTTATTTTTTAAAGATTTTATTTGACAGAGAGAGATCACAAGTAGGCAGAGAGGCAGGCAGAGAGAGAGGGGGAAGCAGGCTCCCTTCTGAGCAGAGAGCCCGATATGGGGCTCGATCCCAGGACCCTGGAATCATGACCTGAGTAGAACACAGAGGCTTAACCCGGGTGCCCCATAAACCTAAGACTTTAAACAAATTTCTCACTTCCTGTAACCTCTGGCTAAGCACCCCTCCCCCACCACACACACATCCAAGCATGCCTTCTAACCCTCCTTGGCCAACAGCTCTCACTGTGGTATAATATTCTGGAAGCACTGAACCCCTCTACTTCCTTGCTTCCTCTTACTATCTGAAAACAAGGAACTCCAAAGATATTCTCAAAAGTTATCACTATTTTCTACAACCAAAGTTATTCATCTTCTATAGTTAAGACAAGTTAACATCAAACACGCTCACATTGATGGTTTAGATTTTAAAATCTTTGTGGTGAAATCCTACAATTTGTACTAAATTCCTTAAAGTGCCTAATATATTGTCTTATATTAGTAAGTACCCTAATAATGAGTTCTGATTATAAAAAGAGATGTGATAACTCAGTGAATTATATAATACAGAATTACAATCCTGGTGCAACATTATATAAAAATGCATATAACTTTCTGTTGCTACATACTTAGCTGCACCCTACTTCAGGAAGAATTTTGTCCTAGTAAAAGATCTAAAAGTACACAGGTTATTAGAATAAACATCCAATTAATAATTATAGGGAAGTAAAGAAGAAATCATAAAGGATATTTTAAAATAGTTTTATTAAATACAAAAAACGCCCATATGATAAAATTCAGTATTAACACGTAGAGACAGTAAAAGTGAATGACTTCTAAAATCAAAGTAAGCTATAGATATGCCATTAATAATATGTAAAGAATATACCAAATATGAAAAAATTAAATCCAAGAAGCCATTAAGCTCTGGTTTGAAGAAGATATTTATTAATTCTACTAACAAGTAAGACCTAAAATTCTGCAGGAGAAATGTAAGAGCATTTTACTCAGTAAGAATGTAGTCATACATTTTAATTAGGGTTTCCAAACTAATCAAGTTTAACTGCACAGTACAACTGAAGACTCCAGACTAAAGCAAAACTAGTGATCTCTATGCTCTTCAACCAGGAGAGGCAGTCAGGCTGGATGGCCAAGAGCCCTCTGGACTGACTGACTACCTAAAGCAAGAAACAAATTGTGTCATTATTTTTATCAGTATCCACATTTGCAAAAATTTCAACCTAACACCTTAATACTCTCTGAGATTATCACTTAATGTATCTGAATCTTTAACAATAAAAAATGTGATAGCTAAAACTTTCAATCATCTTCTTCACCCTCCCAAAGACATACGGAACTTCAACTCGAGACCGCAGACTGAAAAACCTGTTTTATTTGACTGCTCTATTGTTTTATTATTGGATACAAAAACCTTCATTTAAATGTATTGAAATATTCAATACATTTTATGGCTGAGAACACTTTGCTTAACACTTGGCATATTCCCTCATTATTCCACAGACAGGACAGAGGTGCCTGAAGACTGAAAGGCAGAAGCATGAAATCCATGACGTAAGCTATATAACTTTATACAAATTATGTAAAAATTCATTTTAAATTTATCAAAGGATTAATACTTTTCATTAACACAGCTTACATAATTTCATCGTCCAGCACGTTTTTGGATTTACAAGTGTGGACTAAAGAAACCCATGCCACGATAAGCTGTTAATAAAACTATTTTTTTTTAACATTCAGAAAACGAAAGATAAACCACAAAAGGCATTATCTGATTCTAAATTTAGGTCCTATATTCCACCAAACGACGCTATCATTATCTTTCATGAGAATTCGTCCGAGAGCAAAAGCAGAACAGCAAAATACATGAAAAGCATTAAAAACATACATTATATCTGCTTATATTTCGCAATTCGGACTGTAAGCAAATGAACGGACTCAGGAGAAACACACGCTGCGAGAAATAAAAGCGGGCGCGCAAGTGGTATGACTGCCAGCTCATAAAACACGCCTCAGAGGTGTCACCTGGTACACTTTGTGTGCAATCACCCAGACCCGATCTAAGGGTCCCACTTACAGCTTCCTCCTCCAGGGCAACTGGGGCCTGGGGGGATGGCGGTGCTCTTTCACACCGGACCCGCACACCTTCACTTTGTAGAAATATTCGCTACGACGGCTGCACACCGCCTCCGCCCCGGCGGGAGCACCCCTGCCTCCATGCCCCGGACCTTCTGGCCCCCGCCCCACCTGCCCCCGGCTCCGTAAAGGCGCCCATCCCCGGGCCGGTGAGGGCCCTGGGGCGGCCCGGTCCCGCGGACAACTCTCCCTTCCTCCCAGTACCCCCTAAGCCCGCACTTTCCTCCACTTTGCCCAGAAGTCGACGAGCCCCGCCGCGCCGTGGAGCGCCGGGAAACGCACCAGGCGCCTTGTCGGCCACCGCGAGAGCGCGCGGCACCGAGGGGCTGTAGCGGCGGCGGCGGTGGCGCGGGGCTGACCCCACGACCAGGGCGCCCCGGCCCGCGCCCCGCCCCGAGGCCCAGCCAGCGCCCCGAGCCAGCCCCGCAGCAGACGGAGGCTCGAGCTCCCGGTCGGGCCGCGGCGCGAGCAGCTCCGTTACCAGCAGGTGGATCTCCCGCGACCCCCGAGCCTCGGAGCCCAGCAGCCGGCACCGCCCCTCCATCCCGCGCCCCTCCGCGCAGCCGCCCTGCGCCCCCACCTCGAGGCCGCCCGCTCGCCGCCGCCAGCCGCGAGCCGCGAGCCCCTCACCCGCCGCTGGCGCTGCCAGTTCTGCCGCGGCCGCCGCCGAGGCTGCTGTGGCCGCCGCTGCAGCCGCTGTTGCTGCCGGGTGCCCCGCCTCCCCAGCGCGACTCCGCCCCCGCCGCTGGAGCGCCGCGGCCGCCCCGCCCCCCGGCCCCGCCCACGACCCGGCCAGCCATTGGCCGCCGGTGCTGCGCGCCCTCCACGGGGCGCCCCCGCGCGGCAGAGCCGCTCGCGTCAGTGGCCTGCCCGGCTGTCATTTAGGGGCGCCGACTCGCAGCTACATAACTCTCCTGAGATCCCTTTCCTCCCCCCTGCATTTAATGTCACGGCGAGGTCTGGCTCTGCGTCTTGGTCTCCGGTCCCAGACTCCGAGAGCTTGGCTTCTCCGCGCAGCCGCCCCCTCAACCCCCCGCGCCCCGCCAAGCCACATCTGGCTTTAATCCTCCCCGGCGTGTGCAGAGGCAGCTCAGACTGCCAACGGAAGGCCCCAGGGAACCCTCGGCCTTAGCCTGGGCGCGCGACCCGACCACCCTGGGCTTCCTCAGTCGGAGCCCCTGGCCCCAGCTGCAAGTCCCATTCCTCCGTCATCCGGCCAGGGCAGCATTCCTGGGGACAGGTCCCGGGGGCAGGTCCCAGGGGCAGGTCCCAGGGGCAGGTCCCGCTCTAAACCAACAATAGCTTCCGAGGCCCCCAGTTCCAGGATCTCAGCGGCTGTCTCTGACCTTCGCAGCATCTCCAGCGATAGGCATCCCTATCCCCAATTTACGGGGACTCAGAAGGAAGGACTAGCATAAACATAGGAAGAAAAAATAAAAGGTTTAAAGGCAGATCCTTTGGGTGCCAAAGCCTTTGATTTTACCACTTCATCACATATCCTGCCCCTTTCTCCTGGTCCCCATGTTCTAATCTTTCACCATGTCAAGTTAACCAACTAGGTAATCATCTATAGAAAGCCTGAGTGGTCCACCTCTCTTTTGCTTAGTGTTCATATGTATTATGACTTGTGTTAATAGTAACTACCATTGAGCACATCATCTTTTGGTTATACCAAAGATATCTCATTTTAACCATTATCATAATCCTCACAACAACCCTCCAAGTTAACATTTACAGGGAACTACCCGCCAAAGATCAAGGGGACATCCTTCTTCCTGCCAAGTTCCCAAAGTAATAAATAGGTTCTTTTTAGAAATCCATAATCTAAAAATTCAAAACTCTTAAAAGACAAACCTCAATCAGAATAGTTCCCCCCCCAGCAAAATTCTTTTCTTTTGTCTCAAGATAGTGGTAATTAATAATCAGCTATGACATGCATGGGTTTCTTAGTTCTTCCATGGTGATATTTCTCTCCATGACTGTTGAGCTGTTTTAAAGGTCCAGGAAGACATACATGATTTTTCCTCTCATGGTTCTCCCTCAATTCAGGGGGAGTAGACAAAAAGGCTCCTCCACTACCCAGCACCATGAACATAACTTAGGCATGACAGCCATGACATCGAATGACAAGTTTTCTCTCTGCCTTGGGGGCCGGAGAACCAGATTTCCTGTGTTCTATGACAAAGACTTTTCCTTGTAGCAAGCTGACAATAAAATTTCCAGATGTAAGCATTAAAGACTGAGGCCATTCTAGGATACAACCTTTGAGACACTGCTTGATACATGTTGCTGAAAATATCTTTTGGGAATGGAAAATCCTAGACCTTATTATACATTACTCTTAATGACAGACAAGTCTTTTGCAAACAGAGAAAGCTCGGCCATTTCACAGATGATGGAGAAAGCCACCAAGCCATGCCCACAAGATTGGCCAAAGGACCACATACCTGGGTAGCTACTATTCTTATTTTACAGAGGAAGAAACTGAGGCTCTGAGAGATTAATTTAGCAGCTGCAAATAGTAATTTAGGCAACTAGTAAATAACAGAACCAGAATTCACATCCAGGTCTGTTTGATTCCAGAGCTCCTACATCATTCCACCACAACAACTCTCTGCTTGAGTCTTCAGCAACTGACAAAATTTTGTTGAACGGATGAATATCAGAAAGATAAGTTTCTCTCCACTTTCTCCATCTTTTTCCCTCTCACTAAGAGACAGAAATGAAAGCATTCACAAACTTTCTGTAGAGGAATATGTCAGAGGAGAAAGGAAAGCCTGGAAGGCCAAGTTTCAATTGCAGACTCAATGGTCTTATTCAGGAAGGTGGCAGGAACTCCCCCTGGACATTGGTTAGTGGCAAAAACCTATAGCAAAAGACGGAAAGCAAGCAGAAAAAAACAACGGCCTTCCTTTTGGGGCCTTTCTGATGACATGTTGCTTCTCTATCTGTCAGCAGTAGGGTAGATTTGGGAAGAAATTTGGCCCTACAGTTAAAGTCATCACAAACCACTCACATTTTAGCTCAGGAAAATCTGGATTTCAGTTCATTGTTCTAAAAACTGGAATGGCATGGAATATGGGCCTCCAAAGCATAGGTCATAATTGGTTGCTCATTTGTCCTAACTTTGCAGAGCACAGGATCCTGGATTTTCCAATGACATCTGTGGTATCTGTTTAATAAAAGCAGTCATACCAAGCCCCACTGAGTCCTCTTTTTCTTATGTTTTCCATGATGATTCCCTCTTTTATTCCCTCTTTGTTGCTTCTCTACTGTGCAGTTTCTTTTTGCCTTCTCCAGGCCTTTAGTTCAGAGTCAGTGGAAATAAGAGAAATGTTTAGGCAAGACGTTCTGCCTGTAACTTCACCGATATGGATTCTGTCCCTAGCATCTTTCCACATTTTCTGAGGGCCTAGGAGGTGCAGAGGTAGCCAGCATCTAACCACAGGGCCATCACACACTACTGGGAGAGGTAAGTAAGGAATTAAACCCCAAGATACTGCCACAAGTTCAAGGTACTAGGACAGAAGATAGGATGGGGCCACCAGTCAGATTCTCAGGACAGGGAAGGCTTCCTGGAGATGACATGGGAGCTAAAAGTAGAGTCCACACCAAAGCTAATCTTTTCCCTTTATTGCTTTGATGCAGCACAGTTATTGGTGGGGCCACACCTACGTAATCAACTTCTAAGAAATGAAGCAAGTCATCTTTAGTTCTCTGCAACCCTGGTCCCCTCCAATTGCATCATATATGAACGTTTATAATTTTGTGATTCTGGGGCACCTGGGTGGCTCAGATGGTTAAGCCTCTGCATTTGGCTCAGATCACCATCCCAGCATCCTGGGATTGAGCCTGCCTTGGGCTCCCTGCTTCTCCTTCTGCCTGCCACTCCCCCTGCTTGTGCACTCTTGCACTTTCTCTCTCAAATAAATAAATAACATCTTTTAAAAATAAATAAATGTTGTGATTCTGGTTTGTTGGCTACTCACTTAAATGAGATCATTTTTCAATTATAAAGGCTTCAAGAGGAATCACCCCAGGAGG